GGGGGGGGGGGTGTTAACTCACCTTCTTACATAAGTTTTTGTTATATTTCCCACTGATTTTTAGCTTATGGCTATGGGATTTGGGGATTCTAAGAATACTGTAGTCAGTGTTTGCATTTGGAATTTATGTGCAAAAGACAAAAATAAGTCTTACAGGCATGGGCATGCTCCCTGGGGCCCTTTGTTAGCATTTTTGGCAGCTCTCTTTAAATGATGCCTTTTCTCTACGTTCACGGGATGTTTTCTGAAGCCTTACGTAATGGCTAGAAGCCTCTGTCTCTACAAAGGGATACCTGATTCAGGAAAGTAAACATCATAACAGCAACAGCAACCTATTCATCCACTGCCAACCCCACAACCAACCAACCAAAGTGGTGGCTTTTTAAACACTCCAGCTCGGGCCTTACAGCCTGTGGCAGTTAGCACAGCTCAGAGAGGCACAAAGAGATGAGGATTCCTCACGCCCCACGCCTCCTGCAGCAGCTCCACATTCTTGCAAGTGCCCTCGGCAAGTGCCACAGCAGCTGCCCTCGATCCCCTGAACCAAAAGTGACCTGTGATGAAGGGTCAGGAGGATCTCAACATTCCTGGGAGCCCAAAGTTGGTAGAGCTCCTGGGTGGTGCCACGATACTGTTTTCTTCCCAAATCCCGTGCAAGACAAGAACATGGCTTGCATAATAAATTATCTAATGCCTTCATGACCTAATGTTATCAGTAATACTTCAATAACCTTGAAAACTGCCTTCAAAATGAGAAATGTGCTTCGTCCCATTTGTTTGCTCATTCCACACACATTGTCTGAGGGCTCTATGTGCAGAGCTATTGACAGGCGCGTTTGAGGGCTGGGACTAGTAACTAGTCCTGTTCTTTCCTCTCTTCCACACTTTCTTCCCGGGTAGATAGTGGCTCTTAAACCTGGCTGTCCCTCAGAATCACCAAAGACAGGAGCAAGCACTGGCACACAGCCATGCTCACCCGTAGCTGTACTGTCTATGGTTACTTAGGTGCTAAAACAGCAAAGTTGAGTCATAGCAACAAAGAGCACGTGGCCCCCAGAGCCTCGAATGTTTACCATCTGGCCCTTTACAGAACAGGCTTGCCAGCCTCTGACCTAGGAGAGGTCAAGGCGCCAGCAGCATCAGCATCACTTAGGAGCTTGTTAGAAAAGCAGGATCTTGGGTCCCCTCCTAGACCTATGGAACCCACTCTGCACCGACCCAGAGAACCTGTTAAACATGCGGGGTTTTTGGCCCCACCACAAGCTACCATCAGAAGCTGCCAGCGTGGGGCCTTTACTTAGGTTCCCCAAGTGCATCTGAGAGGTGAGATGTATGGTCCCTGCCTGCAGAGGTCGCCGTGGTGCCCCTGGGGCGCGCCCTGCAGGCCTGGAAGAAGTGGCCCCACCCAAGGGCACTTCCCCTTGCTGGAGGCAGCCTGCCTCTCATACCAGGTTGAAATAGGGGAAACCGCCTCTCACTACCATAGCTGAAGAAGTGTGGGGGGCCGTGGGGTCAGGGGCTTCAGACAAAGGTAGCCCCTGAGTCAGGCTGAGTGGAGCGGACTTGCACGCAGCCAGTGGAAGGTGAGGCTGGAGAGAAAGCCTTCAATGCCAGGCTCAGACGTTTGCATTCAGTGGGCAAAGGGAAACCATGAAAAGCTCTGAGCAGGAGAATAACGCGATACTGATCCCAGCTGTGCTTCAGGAATTGTCACCTGGCCATGGTTTGAAAGGGACGGGAATGGCCACGACTGGGGGGGGGGCCCGGTCAGAAAGCCGTTGCAAATGACATCTAGGTGAGAGGCAATGAGAACAGGAGCTAGCGATCAGTCCAGGGGCTCAGAATAATCCAGACCTGCCTTCCAAACCCC